CCAGCCAGGGCCTCTGCAGACAAGCCAGGCGAGGCAGGGTCAGAATGTCCACAGGCCACTCTCACGAAGGCACCAGTCTGTCCTCCCCACGCAGGACACAGGCGAGCCTGGAGAGGGGCCGTGCTGTACTGCTGCGCGGGGACAGTGCCGGCCGCCACGCCACACCCAACATGGCTCAGCTGTCTGAGCACCCAGGCAGCACCGTGACTTGCTTCTAGCCCACAGCTCGTGGCACAGGGGATGGGGTGCGACTGCCCCAACCACCTGGTGCCCCTGACTGTGCCTTGCAAGGGCAGAGTGGAGGGCTGCCAGAGGGAGCCCCACCGGCCACGTGTGCTGCTGCAGTGGCTGCTTGTGGCCACTGGCTGACACCCAGCACATGGGAGGTCTCTGTAACACCGGGGCCACTGCCAGTGGGCAAGGCTCAGCTTTCTGCCTAGGTGGGCACACAGACCCCACCTCCTGGTCAGCAGCTCCACTCGTGGTTCGAAGTAACCTCCATCAGGCGTGGGTCACACCAGGGAGGTCAGAGCTACCACTGCCTCCTCATTGTCCCCAAGGAACCACAAGCAGCTGCTGGCGGAGCCCGTCCTTGTCCTAAGCAGCCACCGAGCTCCCCTGTGACCAGCACAGGACCGGGGGGTACCCACGGGGACCTGTGCCCCAGATCTGGGCAGTGCTGGCACCAGAGGTGGGGAGTGGCCAGGGACTGTCCGGTGGGGCATCTCCATGCGTGCTCCAAACTGGCTGAGCCTGCACACCCCACCGTCTCCAGGGACACCCAGGGTGGATGTCCCTGAGGCCCACTCTGGAACTTTCGGGCTCCCCCAAGCTGGGAAGCCAGCACAGGAAGAGCCTGGCTCTCCCTTGGGCTGTAGTCCTGGGCCTATCTGGAGAGCCCAGTGTGGGGTGGGAGCAGGTGCAGGGCCGTCCCCTGAGGCCCGGCTGCGACCCTCCGGGGCCCGTGTGCAGTGTCAGGATAAATGAGGGCCCTGGGTGCCAAGTGCCTCTCCATCAGCCTCCCTGCTCACTTCCCTTGCCTGTGTCTTTTTTTCTTTTTTCTTTTTTCCGGAGAGGTTTTTGCTATAGGGCATGTGCGCTCGCCAAAGAGAGACAGACAGAAACAGAAAGCGAGAAATCACCCCCAGGGGGGACGGCCACACCGCAATCCCTTCTCTGTTCTCCTCTCGGGATCTTGGGCACACAGGCACATGCGCCAGGCGTGAGTTTAAGCCACCGGGTCCGGGACGTGAACCGCAGTCGACTACATGGGAGTTCAGTGACATAGCCATTACACCAACTGCTGGTCCCCCTGCCTGTCTTGAGGGCAACAGCACAGGTGGGTGGGCCTCTCTGGGCCCTCCCCTGGGCACACAAGGTTGAATCCAGACCTTGGTCCCGGGAGCAGCTCCCGTCTGTCCTCAGCCTGTGCCCACCCAGGCGGCAGCCCCCGCCTGCAGCTCCGTGCCCACCCAGGAACTCAGGCCCAGAAGCAGCAGGCGCAGCCTCGACGGCTGGGCATGACACCCTCTGCCTGGGCACAGCAGAAATGGGGCTGAGGCTGGAGGAGCTGGCCTAGCCCAAGGGCTCAGGCCCCTGGTCTGGATTCACCCTGCAGACCGTCCCAGCTCCCAGGAGCTACTTAACTCCAGCCTCCTGACTGGCCTGGTCCTAGGCTCACTTGAGTCCCCGAAAAACTTCCCTCTTCCTGCTCAGAGCAGCCTCCGGGGCAGTGGTGAGGGTGTGAGCTCGGACACTTACTGCCACACACAAGCAGCTGGAGTAGGGCCACTCTGTGGCAAGTGACGTGACGGTCTGGAGCAGCTGCCTCCCACAGAGCACGTGTCTGACTCCAGTGGTCGGCCTGAGACACGCCAGACACGGGCTGAGGCCAAGAACCTACAGGCCAGCAGACTGGAGGAAGGGGCAGTGGTGTGAGCAGACCCTGCAGGGGGGCTCATTTCTACCATGCTCTACCTCAAATAGAGAAAGTTAACCTAAGAAGAAAAGTCCTGAACAAAAGCTCTAGCACAGGGGCTGGCAAGCGCTGTGGTGGTTAAGGGCGCTGGACTCCCACACGGCCGACCTCGGTCTGAGTACCGGACCTGGCGGCCTGTTCTCTTTCTTTCTCACTGTGTCCCTCTCTGGTCAAATTAAAATGACTAGATAAATAAAGTTTAAGAAAATAATTCTTAAAAAAAAATAAAAAGGTTTAGCATAGGGGCCAGCAGGTGGCGTGGTAGTTAAGGGCACTGGACTCCCACACAGCAGACTATGGTTTGAGTCCCAGATCTGGCAACTTGCTTTCTCACTTTCCCTTTCTCCCCATCTCTCTGGTCAAATTAAAATAGTAACAAAAAGTAAAGCAAAATAAATCATTCTTAGAAAAAAAAAAAAAAAGGTTGAGCGCAGGCCCAGCTCGGGCTGCGAAGGCAGCAGTGTCCGGGCGGTGCCGCCCGGGAGTCAGACACGGGCCCGGTCCCAGGCCTGGTGGGCTGGCGATGCTGGCCAGTGCACAGGCCCCGAGGAGCTGACGGGCTCTGCCCTCCGTCCTGCTCCCAAGCACTGCCTCTTCTTACAGGCTGACACAGGAACTTTCTGTACATCTTATCCTAACAAGGGCTTTTTTCTTAATTTATGGGACAAACATGAAACCCCCCTCAGACTGAAAGAGTCCTGCCATGTCACAACCCCTGGCCCCAACCCCCTGGACTACAGGACAGTGGTGGGCACAGCCAGCACAGAGGTCTGGGGTCCGAGCCCCGGGGCCCACGCAGTGGGTGTGCTGGAGCTGGCAGGCCCATGTCAAGTAGAGCGGAGGTGCCGAGCCCTGCCTAGTGCGCTTACAGGCTGTGGGGTCACCAGGGCTCCGTCCAGATCTGCCCACTCCCTACAACGCAGCAGTAGCCCTGCTGCCTGCATTAACCCCCCCCCTGCCCCTCCAGGTGAGAGGCTGTGGCAGGCGGCAGGCAGCAGGAGGCCTTCCTGTAGCCCAGGGTCCAGCTACTGCCCGCTGTCCCCTACCTGTCAGAGGTGCCCATGCCAGGTACCCTGCCTGCTGTGGCCACGTCTGCCCGTCACACCCAGATCACACGGCTACACCAAGAACCTGACGTCAGCCCTTGCCCTCTGCTGCTGCCCCCAGGACACCTCCAACCTGCTCAGGGCTCTCAGCTGACTCAGGCTCATTCCCCAAAAGCAGGCGCCACAGGAGGCGAGTGCCAAGCAGGGCCACTCATCTCATTTTTCTGGGGGGGGGAACCACAAACATAAAAACACACCCCAACTACCCAGCGCCATGTGTGACCAGCCCCCAGTGAGAAGAGTGCACCGTAGCCAGGCGCTACAGGCCTACAGGAAGGTGCTGGCCCTGCAGACGGCCCTGTCCCCAGGAGACCTGCCAACCCTGCACCGCAGAGAGCCCTCCGGGTCAGAGTACGGCCCTCCCAGGCCAGACACTACCTCTGGGCAGGAAGGACCAGGCATGTCACCAGATGGAAAGGAAAGCACGGCCCTACAGCCGACCCGGCAAGCAGGAGGGAGCAAAGCCCACGTGAGCACGCCAAGGTTGCCACGGGGGGCAGGTCTCGACTCAGCCAGGACCAAGCTCCTAGGGACAGAACATGCCCTGGGGCCAGCAGGTGACAAGGTGGTTAAGGCACTGGATCCCACATGGCCGACCCCACAATTAAGTCCCCAAGCAGCTTGAAAAACACGCACGCACACGTGCCCAAAATCCTGAAGGAGAATGGAGGAGAAGGGTTGTGGGCAGCCATCTCCCCAGGTGTGAGTTCTCACCTGCCCCCACCTCCGTTGAGCACGTGGACAATGGCAAAATCTAAAACAAATCAAAGCAAACAGGTAAACAAAAGAAAGTGTTCTGAGAACTGTCCCAGGGTAGGAGGCAGGAGTGCCTGCAGCAGCGGGCGCGGGCTGCCAGGAGGGCCTGCAGATCCCGACAGTGCCGCCTATGGCATGGCGACACACCCCACCCTGGACAGACAAAAACGCGCAAAATACAGCTGTTTGTCCACGCACAGATTCATACCCAGGAAAAAGGAACCCAAGCCAGTCACAATGGGAATGGCTTGGAGGGAGAGGGTGCCTGGTTAGGGCCCAGGAACGCAGAAGGCTGGGGCACCACACGTCCTCAGTCCCACTGCAGGAGGTGCCAGCAGGGACTGTGGTGACATCTGAGCAGCACAGACCTGCCTCTGGGCTGGCCCTTCCCAGGCTCCTCGTGGACACAGCTAGCCAGGGGAACCCATGTGACGGGCCAGCAGAGCAGCCCACCTGCCCACTCTCTCCTGAAGGGGACAGCCTGTGGCCGCACAAGCGTGGTCATCAGATCCAGACCGCGGAGCCCAGTGTGCCCACGGAGCTGACTGTGACCGGGTGGTACCCACACTTCTGCAGAAGACAGGTGGGGGTGAGCGGCCCTGCTTGAAGGGGGTGACCCTCAGAAACTCCCTCCAAAATACCCCGAAAAGCACCTGGAAATGTGAAAACAAGAGTTGCTCCTGGTTCGTGCTTGCCAGCTGGTGGCTGCCCTTCTCAGACAGCCTTGCGCCAGCCTCAGGCACCCTGTGGATGACCCACAGCAAAGAGCAGAGGGACCACAACCTCCAAGGTGACCTACACCCAGGGCCGGTAGCCCTCCTGAGGACCTCTGGCTGCCATGGCCTGATCCGGGGCTCTTTCCTGGCCCTGAGTAAGGGGGTTAGTGTGGTGTGCCTCTCCGTGCCAGTCTCACGGGACCAGGAGGGGAAGGGTGTGCAGCTCACAGGCTCAGGGTGAACCGCCAGCCACACGCCCTGGCTCTGGCCCAGCAGGTTCATGTGCGATGCCCTGGCACACAGCGGATACTCCGAGTCCAGAGGTGGCCCGACAGGAAGCTGCCACGTCTCCGAGGGTGACAGCAGCACCAGTGTGTGAGCACCAGGTGTGGAGGGTCCCCGGACGAGGCTCGAGAGCAGAGGACGGCAGAGACCCACCAGCTGTCAGGGGGCATCCGACATATTTATTCACCCTGATCCACAGAGCCCAGAACATGGGAGACTCCGCACGGCTCTAGGAACTCACGGCGAGCTCAGAAACAAGAGGTGTTAACTACAAAAAGGAAGGGGCACCCAGCGAGTATAAAGGACTTGCGGGCTGTTCGGAACACCCGTCAGACTATTCACAGTGCCGCACAGCTTCAGAGCTCGCCGGCCTCCTTCTCCTCTGATGGCCGCGAAGCCGCCTGCCCGTTGGAGCTCCCGAGCCTCCAGTCGGCAGGCCCCCGCTCCGGTGGCCGCCGACCCCCCCGGCCCGTTGGCGCTCCCGAGCCTCCAGCCGGCAGGCCCCCGCTCGCTCCGCCCGCTTTCCCAGGGCTCCTCTCTTGATGCCCGCTCTCTGGAGAACCTGGGAATGGGAAGCAGAGGTCAGCGGAGGTTGTCGCCCTCGTGACTGCTGCATGGGTGCCCACGATGGGGACCCCCACATTGGGCCAGGAAACGCCCTGCACCCCACGCCTGGGAACCCGGTGGGTGTGGCGGCCAGGCCTGCCAGCCTGTGCCCACCTGGAGTGACGTTTGGAGACCTTTAATAAGAGGAAGCGCTTTCACTCTAACGTAAACGGGGTTAAACAGAACACAAAACTACGCACGCAATACGTAAAACACAACGGGGGATAAAAGATCAAAATAAAAAAACACAACAGAGATGGAAAGAACAGGACGCTGTCTGGAAGGACGCGACAGTGCGTGGGCCCAGCTCAGGGGTGAGAATGGGCTGTGAGTCCCACGCTGATCCCAGCCAGGCCTGAGTGCAGACCCGGCCCCACTGCCAGACACGCGGAGGGCCCCGCGGACAGACCCCAGCAGGCCCGGGTACAGGGAGGGCTCCCTCCAAGCGCTTACTTGTGCCTCGCACTCCGGTCCCTGGAGGCCCGGCGGTGGCCCCGGCTGTGGCTCCGGGAACGGCTGCGGGGGCGCCGCTGTCTGTCTCGGGACCGGGACCGGGAAGGCTTCCTCCGCTCTCGGGAGGCAGATCTCGACCGCCTCCGACGCCGGTCCCGGGAGCGTGACCTGCACAAGCCAAGACTCAGAAGGATGGAGCCCTGGCCGCGAGTCCCCAGGCCCGCACCTCGGCTGGCTCTGCTGGCTGCCTGACCCACACACCCTCCTGCCTCCCGAGACTACCATCACTGTCTAAAAGAGGTTTTTCCTTTAGGGTGCGTGTGCTTGCTGCAGACAGACGGTAAGAGGGAGAGTGAAAAATTACCTCCCAGAGGAGGTGTCCACACTGCAAACCCTCCTCCCTCTGTTCTCCTTCCCGGATCTTGGACACACGCGTATGTGCCCGGCGTGATTTTGAAGCCACCGGGTCCCAGAGTTGAACTGTGGTTGGCCGGCCACGTGGGGGGGAGTCTAGTGATGCAACTGCTGCGCCACCTGCAGCATGGTAGCTAAGGCCAAGAGCTGACTGCGGTTCAAGTTCCAGAGCAAGTGGCTTGCTTTCCCTTTCTCTTTGGTCAAATTTAAAAATTACAGTAAATAAAAGGTAAAATGAAATAATTCATAAAAGGAAAAACGAAAACAAAACACCCCCAGCAGTTAGTGCCTGACGGCCAGACCTTTCCTGACCCTCTGGACACGTCTTGCCTGAGCCCTGGTCAGGCTCTGGCAGCCGGTGACCACCCTCACCAGTGTGGACCCCACTGCACGCTACGCCTAGCCCACACTGCCCAGGGACAGCAACACGAGTCTGGGACAACAATCGCAGAAGGCCTATGGCAGGAAGCACCTCAGTGACTTGGAAACCTACCTCCTGCGATCTCTGGTTCTTGATCCAGACCTAGAAAAGGGAAAAAAAAAAGGTGGACCATTTCCCAAAAGCACACTGCTCCTCACCACCTGAGGGGAGATGCCCCAACGTGAGAGGTGGGCTTCCCAAGGGCCTGGGAGGGAGCGCTAGGCCCATTCAGAGGCCGCTCACGCCTCTGGCTGGGGGGCTGAGCAGCAGCCGAGCCCAGAGGCATCAGCTACAGCCTGCCCGAGTGCACCCAGCCCGGCGCGTCTTCACCACACACCCACGAGGGCCAACAGTAAGGGCAGGCCTGGCGCTGGGCACAGATTTGAGGCTGCCAAGGTGATGTGAGCATGGACAGACCCCTGAGTCTCATAGGCTTACGCCCGAGCCATGGGCCTCTCCAGCCCCATGACCAACAGTGGAACAGTGCACAAGACAGCGTGGTCCCCTCTCACGCAGACCTACAACGCAGGCGGCCTTGACACGACTGAGGGCGGCACGGCCACCTCGACAGTGAGCATCCTGTGTGTGAAAACAACTGCCTATTCCGCTTAATTTGTTTTCATATTGTTTGAATCTCTACAATCAGAATCCATTGCTAGATAATTTCAACAAAAACAAAACTATACACAATAAACAATTATCCTTTCTGGGGCCAGCAGTTGACGTGGTGGTTAAGGCGCTGGAATTCCCACATGGACAACTGTTGTTAGAGTCCTGGCCCTACTGGTTTGCTTTCAACTCTCTCTCTCTCTCTGACAAAAACTCATGTGGGAAAAAAGTTAAAATAAAAAAATAAAATAAATAATTCCTTTAAAAAAGGGGGGGGGGAACCAGCAGTTAGCGTAATGGCTACGTCACTGAACTCCCACGTAGTCAACCGCGGTTGACTCCCACGTCCCGGACCCGGTGGCTAAAAACTCATGCCGGGCGTGTGTGCGTGCGTGCCCAAGATCCCAAGAGGAGAATGGAGGAGAAGGGAATGCGGCGTGACCATCCCCCCTGGGGGGTGATTTCTCACTTTCTGTCTCTAATGTCTCTCTCTGTCTGGCGAGCGCACACGCCCTATAGTGAAAATCTCCCCCCCCCACCACCACCAAAAAAAACCCCAACCAAACAAACAATTACCCTTTCGGGACCAGCAGTCGGCGTAATGGCTATGTCACTCGACTGCCGAGTAGTCGACCGTGGTTAACCCGGACCCAGTGGCTTAAACTCATGCCGTGCACATGTGAGTACACGCCCAAGATCCCAAGAGGAGAATGGAAAAGGGATTGTGGTGTGGCCATCCCCCCAGGGGGGTGATTTCTCACTTTCTGTCAAGTGCATGTGCTCTATAACAAAAACCTCTCAAAAACAAAACAAAAAAAACCCAAGAAAACCCTTTTTGAACTGGACACTAGCGAGTTCTTAGGGTTTGGATTTTCAGGGCCAGTGAGCTAGGCCTGCTTGAGGGTGTGGTAGTTCTGGCTCTGACCTCTCTTGAACTCCACGTGTGCTCAGCACCTTACCTGACCGTCTCTGACAGCTCGAAAGGGACACAGCAGAGCCGAATTCCAGCCCCACCTGTCCAGCCTTTCCAGCCACAGTTGAGGGCAGCCCAGGCTAGGTCTACAAGGCCAGCCTCTCCCACACACCTCCCAGGGCACCTGTCCTCAGTCCTACCCCAGAGCATGCCCACCGGTCTCCTCCCTGGTCTTACTGCTTCTACCCCAACACCCACGCTTTCTCCTGAGGCAGCTAGACCCCATCCCTTTGACAAGGTGCCCAGTGACCCATGATGCTAAGTGAACAAGGCCTGAGCCTCCCTCTCCCACAGCCACCAGCCACACAGGCCCCGAGTCCTGCCTTGAGGGTCCTCACAGAAGATGCATGTGCCGACTCTCCTTCCCCTTCAGGCTGCCACATGGCCTGTGCCACACTACCCTTGCTCTCTCCTCCCTCGCGGCCCGAGGCTGACTGACGGCACCACGCCCCGATGGAGGAACCCGCTCACTATGGGCCGTGCGGCCATCCGCAGCTCACCTCCTGCTCAGCCGCTCCTCCCGCTCCCGCTCCTCTCGCCGCCTCAGACGGTCCTGGTTTCTCTTCTCCTGCTTCTCAGCCACGGTTTTCTGCATAGATGAAAGGGGGCGATGACCTAGCAGAATGCGAGCGCCTGACCACGCACAGCTACGTGACCTCAGTACTGCTAGCTGGACCGGAGCACTCGAAGGAGCTGAAGACACATTCACCCCTTTCCTCCTTGCTATAGAGCGCACGCCTCCCACTGAAGGGGCCGGGAGGGTGGTGAGAAAGCACACCCTGAGGTGGCCAGGGAAACCCACTCTCCTCCACCCTCCTCTTGAACGCGGGGCATGTGTGCATATAGCCATCATGGTTTTCCTTTTTAAAAAATTAAACAAAATGCTGAATGTAGTTCAGATAGCGTCTGGTTCGTTTTCGCTCCTGCGCTGCCAAACCTGGGGGCAGGGCAGCTCCAGATCCTCTGCCTTCTCTTTGTGGTGATCAAGGGGTAAAGGTGGCTGATCCATCCTCTTTTAAACTTGTAGCCCTCGTCTTCCTCGACCTCCACAGACGTGGCCCTTGGCTGGGCTGCCAGCAGAGTCTCTGATTTCCTCAATTTTCCGAGGCATGGCCAGAAGCCCGGGGAGAGGTTGCCGACGGCACAGCCAGCAGCCGTCCTGTTTTTAGATGCCAGGCCCAGGCCTGAACCGCAAAGGGAGTGGTGTGGGCCCGGGCTGCCTTACCGACCGTGCCGACGGCTGGCCTGGGTACAGTCATTCATTCTTAAAACTTAGTACGTCAAGGCAGCTGGACGCCCAGGGCTAACCATGTGCCTGGCACAACACTGGGCACATCTGGATGGATGCCCAAAACCAGAAAGGCGGGGGCCAGCAGGTACTGTGGTGCTGAAGGTGCTGGACTCCCACATGACTGGCTGTGGTTTGAGTCCTGGACCCGGGGATTTGAAAATTCACACGTGCATGTGCACATACGTGCCCAAAAATACCAGCGGAGAATGGAGGAAAAGGGATTACGGCGTGGCACCCCCACTCTGACCCAGGAGGGTGGGGACGGTGCGTGTGACCCCCACTTCCCCTCCTCCCTCCAAGAGTGCACACGTCCTAGCCCTACGGCAGACCTCCAACCAACCAAGGGAGGAGAGGAGGGGAGGGACTGCGGTATGGCCACGGCCGATGGAGGAGAGGAGGGACTGCGGTATGGCCACGGCCGATGGGGAGCACCTTCTCATCTCTCCTCCCCCCCCTCCAGAAAGCACAAGCACCCACTGGCAAATGGAAAACACACAAAACAAAACTTAGGACATGAAAAAATGTTTTATCGCTACATTTTATAAATTCAGCAACAAACTGTGCATTTTGTTTAATGGCTAAAGTCCTTTTCTTTCATTTGCCAGAGAGCTTGGGTACCCCCTGGACAGAGGGAGAAAGCAGCACCCTAGTGGGGCATGGCCCGCACAGCCCTCCTCCTCCTCTCCCTCCTGCTGGGCCCGACAAACTGCATGTCCTGACCCTGCTGTCCCCCCATGCTGTCAGTGCACATGTGCACCCGCCAGAGACAGGGCGGAGGCGTGCCCTGCAACAAGTTCCCATTTCCCCACCCTGTCTGGTGCCTGGGCACACATGCACGTGTGTTTCTCAAATGACTGGGCCAGGACGTGAGCAGGGGTCAGCCCTGTGGGACCAGGCTCCCTTACCCAGCAGGCCGTGGGGCCAGCCCACTATATCCCCATCTGGAAGCACAGATACACATTCAGAACATCAAAGACAGCGCCGGCAGGTGATGCGGTAGTTAAGGCGCTCAGCTCCCACATGGCTGACCGCGGTTTGAGACCTGGCCCTAGCGGTTTGCTTTCTCAGCTCCCGACCCCCGTGTTGCTCTCTGGTCAAATTAAAATAGACAGACAGTCAAATAGACAGACAGACAGACAGACAAACAGATAGATATAGATAGATAGACAGATAGTCAGATAGACAGACAGACAAGTAGACAGACAGATAGACAAACAGATAGATAGATATAGATAGACAGACAGACAAGTAGGCAGGCAGGCAGGCAGACAAACAGACAGATAGACAGACAGACAGGCAGGCAGGCAGGCAGACAGACAAATAGACAGACAGGCAGGCAGGCAGGCAGACAGACAAATAGACAGACAGGCAGGCAGATAGACAGACAAAGTTTAAAATAATTTTTTAAAAGAACGTAAGACTTTTGGATGTCATTGGGAAAGTCATGATGCATAGAAAAACGACATGACTTTCCCGACGGCCAGCACGGGTTTTCAACTGGGGCGAAAGTGCGACAGGACGGGGAGCAGGAGTGGGTATAAAGGGAGAACGAGGGTGTACATCCCCTGGTAAGCAGCACGTCTTTTCTTTTCTAGGTTTTTGCCATAGGGCATGTACAGTCGCCAGAGACAGAGGGAGAGAGAAGTTACCTCCTAGGAAGGATGGCCACACTGCAATCCCTTCTCTAGCACTCTCCTCTCAGATTTTGGGTATGCAAACACAAGTGCCTGCTGTGGAGGTTCAGGCTCCCAGGCCCAGGACTTGAACCATGGTCAGCCATAAGGGAATCCAGCTTTTTAACCACCATGCTACCTGCTGACCCCAAGCAGCAGATTTTAATGAGATGGCAGTAAATACCACATTGTTACTCACATTCTATAGGACACATATAAAGAGTTCTATGTCTTCTGTATCTGTGAACTTTTAAGGTACGATTCCTACTTAAAAAGGTATGGGGGGACCAGCAGATGGCATAACGATTTTATTGCTGGACTCCCACAGAGCCGACTGCAGTTCGAGTCTCAGACTCAGAGATTTGAAACTCGCTGGGTACATGTGTGTGCACGCCCATGATCCCAAGAGGAGAATGGAGGAGAGGAGGCTGAGGCATGGCCATCCCCTCCAGAGGTGATTTCTCGTTTTCTATCTGTCCCTTCGGCAAGCACATGTGCCTTATGGCAAAAACAAACAAACAAACAAACAAACATCTCTAACACATGTGCTGTATAGCACAAAATCTCTCTAAAAAAAGTATACGGGAGACATATCAGCAGGTGACATGGGGTTAAGGCACTGGATCCCACATGGCCAGCTCCATGGTTCAAGTCCTAGGCCCAGTGGCTTGAAAAACACCCAGGGGGTCAGCAGGTGGCATAGCAGTTATGTCACTGGACTCCCACATGGCTGGCCACAGTTGGAGTCCTGGACCTGGTGGCTTAAAACTCATGCTGGGCACATGCTTGCTTCAGATCCTGGGAGGAGAATGGAGCAGAAGGGATTACAGCGTGGCCATTGCCCTGGCGGGGTGATTGCTCACTTTCCCTCTTACTATCTCTGTCTCTGTCTTATAAGCACACGTGCCCTAAGGCAAAAACCTCTACATAAAAAGGAAAAACATGGCAAGCATGAATGCACATGTGCCCAAATCCCAAGCGTGGAGAGGAGACTGTGCCGTGTCCGCTCCCCTGGGGGTGATCTCTCGTTTTCTCTCTGCAGGAGCACATGAGCCCTATGGAAAACTCTTAAAAGAGAAAAAAAGTATGCAGGGCCAGCTCGTGGGCTGGTGGTTAGGGCAGCTGGGTCCCACATGGCTGGCTGCATAGGGTGAACCCAGACCCAGAGGCTGACACGCTGGGCGTGTGTGCACATGTGCACGTCCACTCCCTGGGCTGCTTTCTTGCTTTCCTTTTCTCTCCCCAGCAAGCACATGTACCCTCTGGCAAATTAAAAAAAAACAAAAAAGTAAATGAAAAATAAAGTGTGACAAAATATACTCTTTCAAAATTCTACTGGGAACACAGAGAAAAAAGTTTCAAGACCAGTGGCTGCAGCCGCCCTGCTGGCCACTCCACTCCAAGCCTGCCCTTCCCGGCTGAGCCCTGACAGCTGCTGTCCATGACAGCAGCTCCTTAGGGGACACACAAGGCCCCGGGTCAGCCAGGCGCCCGTGCCTGCCTGGCAGCCACACTTTCCGTGTGGGAGAAGCCTGCGTAGCCCCACAGCCTGCGACAAGCCTCATTCGCAGTGCAGGAGGCCTGTCTTGTCACTCAGAGGAACGACAACACAAAGTGTCGCTGCTGTAGGTCATGGGTCACACGGGAGGTGGCTTTGGGTTCCAGGCTGATCGGAACACACCAGGTGTGCCTGACACGCCTCCCCCCTGGCTAGCTGAAGGATCCCGGCATGGTAAGACCCCATCAAGGGCACCTGTCTGTCTGTCTCTCTCACAAAAAGAAACTTAGAGCACGAGGCGTGGCCCTACCCTCAGCTGACGGAGCTTCTCGCGGATCTGGATGAAGCCGAGGTGTAACTTGCCCCCGAAGTGGTCTGCCAGACGGCGGTCGTTGTCGTGTAGTCCCAGGTAGGCCGAGCACACCTCGCAGACGCGCAGCTTCTGCTGCTGGAAACTGGACGCAGGCATGGAGTTCCTGTACTCCTCCTGGGGGACGGCACGAGCTGCTCCAGCAGTGGTACCCGCGGCAGGGCCAGGGGCCTTCATTCCGGACTAGAAAGTGTGTGCACGCGCCAGAGACAGGAAAAGCACCCCTGCTGGCGTGGCCGCACCGCAGCCCGCCTCCCCACCCTGCAGGGACTCTGGGTGGGCAGGCATGCAGCAGGCCCAGCGCTTCTCAAGCCTCTGGGGTCAGGACTAGAAGTGAACTTGGTCATGTGGGACACGGCTGACCGTGACCACCGGGCAAGAGGGCCACCCCAGAGGTGACTTTGTTAAATAAACACGACAGACTAGATTTTTAAAAGCAAAGCTACACACTTGCAACCAATTCCATTTTTCTTGCTCACTGAAGAAATGAGCTAACACTCATACTGAAACAAATATTTACAACACTAGTCCGATTCAAAAGAGAAGCTGAACTTTTTCTCAGAGACTGACAGGGAAGGCAGGTCTTCCCACGATGAGAGCTTTCAGGACGAGAGAAGCAAGAAGGAACAATTTTCAAGCAAAACTATGAGCAAATAAAAACTACAGCAGGCTCTGGGGACTATGCCTCAATGCCTGTTAAACCATACTCCAGTACAGTCCCCATGATCAGAACGTGGGAGGTCAGATGTGTCACACGTCCCTCAGAGGAGCGTGGGCTGCAGCCTGGAGCAGACGTGCTTCCTCCGGCCGCGGTCCAGCCCCCAGCTGTAGGCACTCTCTGGGAAGGACAGACGCGGCACGGTGGTGCTGCTGGAGGCAGGGAGGCTCCCTCCTCCTCCACCCAGCGCAAGGCCAGCCGTATGGCCGGCAGCCGGGCACCGTTCTGCACTGCCGAGGCCACGGGGCGCACGCTGGGCACGCGTGCGTGGTCACAGCTGGTGGATGGAGTTCAGCACGAGATCACTGCTGGGGGCGCCATGTGTGCATCTGTGTGTGTCTTCTCTCGAAAGAAATAAATTTTTAAAACATTCAGATTTTTGGACCAGCAGGTGGCGTAGTGGTTAAGACACTGGACGCTTGAATATGGCCAACCACGGTTCGAGTCCCGGACCTGGTGACTTGCTTTCTCACTTCCCTCACTCTCTCTGTCTCCCTATCTCTCTCTCTCTCTGGTCAAATTTAGAAAAGAAAGAAAGAAAGAAAGAAAAAAGAATAAATAAGTAAAATTCAATAAATAATTCTTTTTTTAAAAAATTCAGACTTGGGGACCAGCAGGTGGCATGGTGATTAAGGCACATTGGACTTGCACATAGTCGACCCAAGTTCTGGTCCCAGACCCGATGGTTTGAAACTCACACTGGGTGCGTGTGCATACCCAACATCCTGAGAGGAGGGTGGAGGAGGAAGCGCTGTGGCGTGGCCATCTCCCGGTAGGTGATTTCTCGCTCCAGGGGGTACATGTGCCTTTATAGGAAATCTCTCTCTCTCTCAAAAAAAGAGACACCAGAGTGCCAGCAGGAGCTGTGGAGGGTTCCGCATGGCCAACTGTGCAGGCAGTTCGAGTTAGAGAACCAGACTCAGCAGCTTGAAAAACACGCCTGGAACGGGTATGTGTGTGCCCAAAATCCTGAGAGAGGGGCTGCAGCACGGTCACCCCCGAGGGGTGATCTCTCACCTTCCCTCCATCCAACTCTCTCTGGTGAGCACATGTGCCCGTCATGTCATAAAACGAAAGGGAAGGGAACCAGCAGTTAGCGTAATGGCTATGTCGCTGGACTCCCACGTAGTCGACCGCGGTTCGTGTCCCAGACCCGGTGGCTTAAAACGTGTACGTGTGTGCCCAAGATCCCGAGAGGAGAATGGAGGAGAAGGGATTGCAGCGTGACCATCCCCCCTGGGGGGTGATTTCTCGCTTTCTGTCTCTGTCTCTCTCTGTCTGTCTGGCGAGCGCACGCGCCGCCCTACAGTGAAAAAATCTCTCCAAAAAAAAAAAAAAACAAAAACAAAAGGGAAGAGGACAACGTGGACCCACTTGGAACCAGAGGCGAGCACAGCACTGCACGGACCAGCCTTAACCTAAAGGAGTGTGCCCACGGCGTCGGGGTGGGAGAAGCGAGTCCCACAGCAAGACCTGCTGGAGGGTATCAGAGCCCGGGAGCCCTCTAAGACGCCTGCGGCTACGGTGCTGCCACACGGACCCTCTGAGGGGGGAGTGGGTTACTGCTACCAGTGCTGACCCAGAGGTTCAAGTCACATCCTGACCACAGGTGTTCCAGTCAGACCCCTCGACGACCTGACCGCTCGCTGTCCACTCGGACCCCTCGACGACCTGACCGCTCGCTGTCCACTCGGACCCCTCGACGACCTGACCGCTCGCTGTCTGCACCTGCTGTATGTGCGCACATCCTAAATCCCAAGAGATGGAGAAATGAAGGGGCTGCCGTGTGACCACGGCCCACTGGGTGGTGGCTTTCCTCCTTCTGTCTCTCTGGTGAGCACAGATACCCTCTGGCAAACTGGGGAGAATAAAAGGAAGCATAATGCAATTCTCATCACTGCTTGTTGGCACTACGCTGGAGTCCCAGCTGACTCGCAGAGACGGGGAGAGAGGAAAGGTGTAATGGTGGGAAGGGAAAATGACCGTCTATGTAGAAAACCCAAAAGGGTCAACAGATGGAAAAAAATCCAGGAACTAAGAAGCGAGATTGCAGGATACAAGGTTAAAGCACAAAATCAATCATTTTCTTACATATCTGTTGTCAACAATGGAATGTGAAATTAGAAACATTACAGTTTATAGTAGCACTCTCAAATACAAAATACTCAAGAAATAAATCTAAGAAAATAAGAACAAGATCAAATTTTTATTTGAATAAATTGCCCCTGTAGGTAATGGGGAAAAATGAAGTTTATATGCCACTCATAGCATTTTTAAAAACATTTTATTCATTGTGATTATTTTTTTTTTTTATTTTTTGACATTAACCAGAGAGAGAGAGAGAGAGAGAAGGAAAGTGAGAAAGCAAGCTGCCAGGTCCAGACTGGAACCGCAGTCAGCCATGTGGGAGTCTAGCACCTTCACCACCACACCACCTGCCATCCCAACATTTCTATATTTGAAAATAGCCTAAAATTAAACCAGCAGCCTGTAAGGGCCAGCAGGGGCGTGGTGGTTAAGAACGCCAGACTCCCACATGGCTGACTGCAGTCTGAGTCCTGGAACTGCGGGCTTGTTTTTATACTCTCTCTCGCTCTGTCCCTATCTGGTCAAACAAACAACAACAACAGCCAGCAGCCTATCATAAACGCATTCTCTGACTGAGCCATTGGTCTACAGAGAAGACTACCAGTTTAGGTGACTTCTGAGGAGGTGGGCCTAAGGGCGCTGGACTCCCACATGGCTGACCACAGCTCGAGACCCAGACCTGGCGGCTTGCTTTCTCACTTTTCCTATCTCTCTCTCTCTCCGTCCCTCTCTGGTCAAACAGAAAAATTAATTAATTAATTAAAAAATAATGTATTGTATGAATTCAGTGATGCTTTAACTCTGACTTACATTTTTTTTTTTTTGGAGAGACTTTTGTTATAGGGCATGTGTGCTTGCCAGAGAGACAGAGAAAGAAAGCGAGAAATCAGTACCCGGGGGGGATGGCCACACAGCAATCCCTTCTCCAGTGTTCTCTTGGGGTTTTGAGCACGTATGCACATACTCCTGGTGTGAGATTTAGGCCGCTAGATCGGCGACTCAAACCACAGTTGGCTACGTGGAAGTCGAGTGACTGAACCACTATACCACTCCTGGTCCTTGGGCTTTACATTCTGAAGTTAACATATGGGCATTATGTCAACAAGGTAAAGTTCCTCCCCTTGTGCCTTCAATGTGTCTCTACATGACCTGCGTGTAAGAGAAGTAGCTGAGGGAGGGAGGCGTCCTGAGACGGAGGTGCCCTCACGACCACGGTCTAATGGCAGATTTAAGATTAGAAGGAGGTTCCAACGCATTACGTAGACAGTTTCCATGTCTACATTTCAAAAAAGCACCAGTGTATTTGATAAAAAAAATGACTTATTTTATGTAAACATCATCGCAAACAAGGTGTTGACAATCAGGTAGATTTTTTTCAAAGAGAGATTTTTGCTATAGGACAAGTGCACTCACCAGAGACAGAAAGCAAGAAATCACCCCCTGGAGGGATGGCCATGCCACAGTCCCTTTTCCACTCTCTTCTTGGGCTCTTGGGCACACACGCACATGCGCCTAGTGTGAGTTTTAAGCCACTGGGTCCAGGACTTGAACTGCGGCCGAATCCCCGGAGTCCAGCGCCGTAGCTGTTAGGCCATCACTGGTCCGCAGTTAGATTTATTATGATGCACAGGAGTAAATAGCTCCCCCAACTCTTCTTTTGCTTTCCCAATATAAAGTTTGCTGAATATACAAGAATTTATCACTTAGGATAATAGAATTTTTTCCTAGGAGTTTAGGGGGAGGATCTCTATCAGAAAATTGTTACCTATAAATGGATTCTTGACTTGATCCGAAATATGAAACTTGAAGATTTTCTTTACCTGACATGGAAAAGTTAGATGGCTATTTTTTTTTAAAGGACACTGTCTCTGCTATTAAAAAACCTATACACCTCTGATGGAAGACATCAAATGAGGAACAGACAGAACCCCGCCCCGTGTCCGTGGACTGTCCAGATACCAGTTCTTCCCAACCTGATGCAGATTAAACAGAACCCCGATCAAAGCCCAGCATGCTCAGGGGACCCTGCTCTCTGCTCCCCGGCCATCGTGGCCTCTGCTCTGGGTTGGGGCTGTCCCATCTCTAAGGCAGGAAGACGGTGGCCGCAAAAAGACAAAAACGTCGCTGGGTCCATCAACTCCCAGTTCCAACAAGTGGGAAGTGTGTACTGGGGTCCAAGCAGACTCTGAGGATGACCAACAGGGCAAAGCGAAGTCATCGTCCTCGCCAAGAACCGCCCGGCTTGGAGGAAATCTGACACCGAGTACTAGGCCTTGCTGGGTAAATCGTGTCCGTCGCTACAGTGGAGAAAACAATGAGTGGGCACAACTCGTGGGAACGCGGCAGAGCGTGCACGCGGGCCACCATGGCCCTGGCATTTCCAGACGATGCCACCAGAAGTGTGCCGGGCAGACCGGTGGGAAGGAAGCGGTCAGAAGTGTGCCGGGCAGACCGGTGGGAAGGAAGCGACGCAGCATTTTTCTTCAGTAAAACTTGCCAGAGTGTTTTAAAAACAAAAAACAAACGTGCTCTGAAGTGCACAGGAGTAGCTAAGCCCCAGGGAGCAATTCGATGCTGGAGGGCAGAGGTGGAGGAGGGCATCACCAAAGACTGGGCCCAGACATGGACCCGCCTGGGAACGAAAGTGACATCAGGGAGCAAAGACTGGTTCTAGAACTGGACGTCCACGTGCAAACGTGCAAAGCTTGAGAGAGCAACATCCTTCACCACATGAACTCACAAGAGAGGACGGGCCTAACGTGGAACACAGAACCATAAAGCTCCCTGGGAGACGAGAGCAGGAGAGACTAAATGGTCCTGGGCGGGTGGGCTTGGGGAGCCCCACAAGCACAGCCTAGGTGGAGCAGCGAGGGCCAGCAGGGAGCAGGTACACAAGGCAACCAGCCCCCATGGCAGACTATGTGGCTTGAGTCCTGGACATGGCAGCTTGAAACACACGCTGGACAGGACCAGCAGATGATGTAGGCCATGGTTCGAATCCCAGACCTGGTGGCTTCAAACTCACGCTGGGCGCATGTGTATGAG